GTAGTAAAGGATTTATAGTTCCCTTTTAACTAAGAACCAAATTCATTATCTTTTGGAATTAAGACCAGTACCCTCTGCTTTACAAACCAAATCTCCTCCTTTGTTGACATATAATATATCCTGTACTAAATCTTACTGCTAAGCTCTTCCTTAGTCAGATTCAGAGGTATTAATCTTAAAGGACAATTTCTTGCTCATTTAGAAAATATTTTGAAGGCATATACATATATATGTACATAAATATACATTTCTTATTTTTCCTGAATAAACATTTGTTGGCCTCTATGATAATACTTTTAACAGAGATGTACTAATATTTCAGACCCCAAAATGATGCTACTTATAAATTTTAACAAATTTTAATCTTTTTACTAAAGAAATTAATTATTATATAATCAACTCTTTACTATGGAAATTTTCAAACATGTACAACATTAGAAGATTTGATAGAATAATCCCCACCCCCCCCACCAGAATAGCTTCTAGCTTCAGCGTGTCCACTCATGGTCAGTTAGGTTCCATCCAGCCCTCTTGCCCAATCTATTAACCCCCAAAGATATTTTGAAGTAAATCTCAGACTTCAAACGATTTCATCAATTGATGTTCTCCAGGCACAGAACACCAGGAACCTCTAGTCACAGTTGTGTTGCTGTTGCTTGCTTCAACTGGGAAGCTCACACACCACGGGAAACAGGGGCATCTCAGTAAGAAGACTTAGGGACCAGGCTTTCTAAGAGATTTCAGCCTATGAGGTCATTTACAACAGGGTTCAAGAAGGCACGGTTACACTTTCAACTGGATGATATCAAATGAGTTGTTATGTTAATGGTTCCTATTTAGAAAGTGGATAAATTGGAGGAAGGTGAAAGCTTTAGGTGGTAAAGAGCAGCAGTCCCTTGTGTTGGCCAGATGGACAGGGTGTCTGACGGTTTTGTGGTTTAGGCAGTGTTACTGGTTTTGCCTGTGCTCTGCCATTATTACAGAGTGATCCTGCCTTGCCTCACTTCACCACCTTTACCACGTAAACTTTTCTCATATTCATGTTTTGGGAAATCATTGATATTCTGTAGCAGAATGCTACAGCTAAGCTTTTAGCGCTAGACCAGATAGATCCCTTTCTATTGGCTGCATCCAACCGGATCTGGCTACTGGGCATTTGTGGGAGATACAGTGGGTATGACTGTGCTTTGGAGCAGAGCAGTGTGGAGAAGGGTAAATGAAGGATTATGTCTCTGGAGTCTGTCACAAGCAAGGCTCTTCCAGTGACTTGGTGTGTGACTTTGACCAAGGTGCCCAACCTCTCTGTCCTCTCTGTACTTCAGTGTTTCCCTTGTAAACAGAAATACTAATAGTATTTATAACAGAATTCTTGTAAGCATTATGTGTACTAACACACAGACTGCTTACAAGAGTGCCTGACCCAATGTGAATGACCCTATGGAAGTGTTTGTGGATATTAATGTTATTAATAATACTATGCTCTTTTCTGGGGGTGGTAATTTATTTATTTTTAATGGAGGTACTGGGGTTTGAACCCACAACATTGTGCATGCTAAACAAGCATTCTACCACTGAGCCATGCCCTCCCCCTAAGGTTATTAAAGATTGTGATGTTCTTTTATTCACTCCTAGCTGGAAACAGAGAGAGGTAATTACATGAGGCTGAGGAGTCTTACTTTTTCATCTGTTTAAATGACCACATTAAACTAGCTGATCTCAAATGTTTCAATTGAGAGTGATGTAAGTAATTAGTTGTGGGAACTTGAAAAATTGAAAGCAAGGGTTAGAATGCAATCTTGACATCTGGTGCTAAATTGTCTTTCTGTATGCTTATAACTTACTTTTCAGAGTGCTCATGTATTCAATTATATATGAGTTAACTTATTTGACAAGTTTTTTGTTTATTTTTTTTTCAGTAAGGAACCGTGTTAGTAGTCAGGGAATCAGTAGTCAGCAAAACAGACACAGACCCTGTCTCACACAGCTGACAGTCTATTGTGAGAGAGACTTAAATAAACAGTTAGATAAAAGGGCATTTAATCATAAACTGTGGTCATTCCTTTCAAGTAGAGGTGC